TGTATTTATTACCACGAGGCTCATGGTTTGTTACTCTTGCTTCTTGGGCAGCTACATTGGGTCTTTCTCCTTTGGCAGTCACGTGACGTCTCTTTGACTCTGCCTACTCTCTGTCTATATCTCTTCCAATCTTTCTGTATTCTTACTTGCCATAGGCCAAAGCAGTTTTAGTCATTAACCAATAAAAGCTACATATATACAGAAGGACACCCACATCAAAGAATATTAAGGTCAGGGAGACTAGAGTACAACAAAAATGGAAAGTAATCAGACAGGGTAGGTGGTACAAGTGCTTTTAGGCCCTTTATGGAGTTGGTATTAGATTCTAAGTGTGATGGAAGCTTTTAAGGAAGGTGGAAATGTTCTGAGCCCTGGGTGAGCCTTGGGAGGAACTATCTGCTGAAGTTGACACCAACATTCTCATCTGGCCCTTTCTATGCAAACATCCAGAATTTCTCAGTCACAAGCATAGAATATAGAAGTAGAGAGAAAACCACATTTCTACTAGAAATCTAGGTAAGAGGTCAATTGCTTGCTTTGGGCTCATGGAATTTCTGCAAGATATAATGTTAATTCCAAAAACAATTAGAAGAGACCTGAACTTCAGCATAACCAAGCCACTTACTTAGGGGCTTGGATGAGAATGGATAAAGAGAGGGTCTAGGAGTATATCAGATAACCATCAATCACTCTGAGACAGTTTGTCTCATACATTCATATAAAGCAATTTTTTAAAAAAAATTTCTGTCAGTCTGATTGTCAAATATCCAAGGCACTAACTACTTTGTCTAGTTGTATGAATGCAGCTTGACATGACCAGAACCATTTTAAATCATAACACTGCCTTTGTTTATGTAACCATAGTCAGTTTTTCCTACATAGTTACCCAGCAAGCTATTGTCTGTCTGTTTATCTGTCTATCTATTGGTTACCTACTTGTCATCTATCTATCTATCTATCTATCTATCTATCTATCTATCTATCTATCTATCTGTTCTGTCAGCATTTTATATGGCCTTGCACCAGGAATGTTCCTGTCTCATTGATATTAGCTAAGATAAAGCGGGAACATCAAGACTAGGATGAAGTTACATCTCTACTAACCAGTAAATAAATCTTCCTTACCCAAATTGTAGAGGTCCACCTGATCATTCTGCTTCCTCGAACTACACCCCTGATAGTAAAACCATACTTCTCAGTAACTTGCACTCTATCTATAAAAGGCTGAGTCTGTCTCCTCTACAGTCTCAAGCAGCACCTTCAAGCCAACCAGTCCTCATGTTTAGTGAATGAGTTGATTCAGAACACCATCTAACAAGGTCAGTCCCCACAGTAAACAAAAGCAAAAATAAAACGAAGCAAAACAAAAGAGGCATAGAGGTGTAGGCCCAGCCATTTCGATTTACATACCAAGTAACCAACTGAAATTCTTTGCTATACAAGTGAATTTCCTAGCCACTGCTACCTTTGGATATGGCTTTCTTCACAGCATACCTAGAAAGTTTGATTGATAAATTGGCAAGGAAAGACTATATTTAAATCAAATTTATAGCATGTGTCCCTTTTGGGGTGACATAAACTGTACAAAACTCCTTAACTTTCTAGAAAAATGACCAGAAATGACCCTGGGACTTCTCCTGTCCTGGGCTGTACACCTGCAAAAGTTTACGATTATAATGAAAAGATACAAGAGATGGAAATAAGGCTTAAATTAGAAATCAGAGAAATATCTTCCAATGAAATATAGTTGCTTTGCTAAATAAGAGAAATTTTAGAACATTTTGAAGGTGTGGTTTTCCAAGATTCGAGAAAGTTTGGAAGCTCAAATTCAGAACACATAGTCATAAAACAATGAAAGCAAAATCTAGAACCATTTGTTGGCTACGGAGTGTTGGGTGTTTGGGCCTCAAACTTCCGAACTCCACCTGTCATTTCCTTTCAGTGCCTTAACAAACACCATCAATAAAATGTGAAAAAAAAACAAATAAAACACAAACAACAAAAAGGAAGTTACAAACAAATAAATCCAACCAACCAACAAAAGTCCTTTGCCCCTAACCATCTATCCAAGGCTGCAATGATTTCCTAGATGAGGGAGCCTTTTCTGCCAAAAGTGTTGCACTCTGGTTCTTACTTTAAGTGGGACAGCAACTTTTTCAAGGAGAGGGGAGAACCAGAGTATCAGCGGCATGTACCAGTAGCATGTGCCAGCTGCATGTACCAACTACGTGTGCCAGCTACGTGTGCGTGTACCAGCTACACGGGAACAGGATGGAGAGCAATTCAAGAGCAAACATCCGAAAGAAGAGATTTCCCAAAACTAGGAGTGTTAAGCCAGTTCTGTTATCACTGGCACTAAAAACTCCTTCCAGATGTTTAGAACTGAGAAAGCCTTGAGCTCCCCCTAGAGGACAGAGCGCATCACAACGTTCCCCCAGTAGGTCCTGCTCTCTCTCTCTTCTCTCTCTCTCTCTCTCTCTCTCTCTCTCTCTCTCTCTCTCTCTCTCTCTCTCTCTCTCTCTGTGTGTGTGTGTGTGTGTGTGTGTGTGTGTGTGTGTGTGATGCTGTGCTTGTCCCTCAGAAGTTCTGGGTGCAGTCTTTTCACAGTCTCTGGCGCACCCGGCTCACACCAATTACCACAGCATGCCAGGTGCTACAATCCATCACTCTGTTACATGTGTGAGTCCCTTGAAGTCAACAAGACTGTCTCTAGGTGTCCTCATCCATTACAGTGACATCGGTTACTTGAAGGGCCTTGTTTCTTGCTTTGTCTTTCAAAGCTCTTGTTTCTTCTTCTGTTCTTCCTCCTCATCTATATTATGACCAACAACTTATACCGTCTTAATACGCTAGTCCTAACAATTCTATAGGGGCAGATGTCTGTGCCTGCATTTCCCAGAGGAAGAACTGATGTTTAAAGAGATGAGTTTAGCCAGTTGCTCAAAGGCATGCATTCCGGAGCTGGGAGACAGTAGAAGGAAACCCAGGTTTCTCTGATACAGACTTTCACGATCAGTTAGGTCACCCCCGCCTTTCCCTTTGGATGTTATCTTAGCTCCACCTTCAGTTTCTTTGCATTAACCTGTGTAGGCTCATGGTGCATGTTGCACCATGAATTATCAAAATCAAAATTATTTTCCCTCTCTCATCCTTCCTGTCTTATATTTAAAAAAAAAACCAGCACATGTAAAATCAAGCAAAACAACACTGATTCTCAAATTAGATGGCATATTATAGCATCTGGGGAATTTAAAGAAGTTTTAGTATCTGAGCCTCACCCAAAACAACACTGATTAATGATTTAAAGTATATCTCTGTGTGTGTGCACGCACGCGCATGTGTGTGTAAAGTGGCTGTGAAGATCAAAGGAATCCGATGCCAGTTTAGAGGTAGAATTACAGGCAGTGGGAACTGAACTTGGGTCCTTCGCCAAAGAGAAGTATGTGTTCTTAGCCACCGGGCCATTTCTCCCACCTCAGTGCTTCATATTTTTAGTAGATTTTAAACTCACCCTCCAAAGGGAAAACCACTGTAGTGTAGAAACTGTCAAGAAAAGTTTTTAAAGTCTCTGACAGCACCCCGCAGAGTCAAGGCATCATGGTAAACGTTTCGGAGAAATTCTGTTTACCCACATCCAGGACAACAACATATCCCACAAATTGTTGGTCATTTAATTTTACAACCTGACCCCTCCAGCTTTGTAGTTTGAAGGTTTGGCTGTAAGTTGAGGGCTTAGGGGAAGTGGTTGGAGCCTCAAGACTCTAACCACATCATGTATGGAGCCAAATACATGCATATTGTTACAAAAGTATTTATAAGTATGTAACAGTAATAACTAAAAATAGAATCCAGGAATTTAGGAAGGAGGGGTGTAGGATGAGTTGAAGAGAGGGAAATGATATAATTATATCTTAATTAAAAATAAAACAAATAGGCGCTGGAGAGAGGCCTCAGAGGACCTGTACCTACATGATAGTTCACAGCTGTCTGTAATTGACATGCAGGGTATTTATAGTGCCCTCTTCTGGGCTCTGTGAGCATCAGGCTCATAAGTGATGTAGTAACATACATGCAGGCAAAAACCCATGCATACAAAATAAAAATAAAATTCTTTCTTTCGCTCTTTTTTTTTTGATGTGTGGATGGGCATTAGGTGCTCATCTTTGCAATGCCCATGTGATGCCCAGAAGACATTTCATAGCTTTCTTCCACACACCCTGGCTCGTGACAGTCTTCCACATACCCTGTTTCGCAATGGTCACGAGTGGAGGATGTAGATGTTTCCCTTAGGGCTGAACACTCAGCAATCCTGCGTTCTCAGCACTTTGAACAGTTACAATGATGGCCACCCACTCCCCAGAGAGGATCCTCTAAGGCTTAGAGCTAGAGCAGTCTGAGTGTAAGCACACATCTTCAGAAGGAGGTTTAACTGTGGGTCCACTTAGCAAAACATCACTAGAAGGTTCCCCCATAGGGTTGAACTCCCTACTCACAGGAGTTTGACCAGATATACTGTACCAGGCACGGATTCTCTCCAAGAACTTGAATCTGAACCTCAGATTCAGTCAGGAAACAGTTGCTTACGCCTGGGTTTTTTTTTCTGTTGTTTGTTTGTTTGTTTGTTTAAGCTGGTATATATAGTAAGCAGTACTTTCTACTCAGGATCACCAACTCACAAATAATAAGAGACTTATTAAATATGACTGTTCAGCCTGAGCTTAGGCTTGTTCTTAACTAGTTCTTATAACTTAAAATAACTCTTATATTTATTTTATTTATTTTTTTAATTTTTAAATGCATCTTACGTTACCAACCACAATTCCTTCTCTCTCCCCTCCTCCCTTCCCACCTTATCCACTACCCAGAGGGGGTAATGCCTCCCATGGGGAGTCAACAAAGTGTGGTAAATCTGTTGAGGCAGGACCAAACCCCCCACCTCATCAAGGCTGAGCATGGAATCCCACCATATTTTTCATCTATATTCTCACGTGGTTCATTACCTCATCTATGCACAGTCTATCCTGATTCTTCTCCATATGGCTGGCAACTCCACCTTTCTTCTGCCCAGAGGTCTCTCTCTGCCCAAAAGTTCCGCCTATACCTCCTGGCTCGCTTTTTATTACAGCTGTGACAGCAATATGTCTTCACACCAGGTACAAATATCCCGCAACAGGTGTAATCGCCCTACACAGGAAGGTTCAGTGTTTGGCTGAACGCTCTGCTGTTGGCATCTTGAAAATCTAAACATTTTATATCTGAATTTGTGTTGAAAAAGGAGTAGATAGCAGGAAATAATCAAACTGAGAGCTGAAATCAACAAAACAGAAATAGAGAATATAAAATGAATCAATAAAACTAAGAATTGGTTCTTCGAAAAAAAAAACCCAACAAGATAGAAAAATCCTTATCCAAACTAACTAAAAAGCAGAGACAGAATATCTAAATTAACAAAATCAAAAATGAAAAGGGTAGCATAAAAACAGACACTGAGGACGTCCAAACAGTCATTAGTTCATATTTAAAAACTGAAAATCTAGCTAGGTGGAGGTAGTGCACATCTTTAATCTTAACAATCAAGAGGCAGAGGCAGGTGAATCTCTGTGAGTTTGAGGTCAGCCTGATCTACAAAGCGAGTTCCTGGGAAGCCAGGGCTCTTACATAGACAAACCCTGTCTTGAATTATCGAAGGGGAAAAATTGGAAAATTCAAAAAAAATGGATAATTTTTTGATAGATACCATATACCAAAATTATATCAAGATCAGATAAGCAATGTAAATAGACCTACAACCCCTAAGGAAACAGAAGCAGTCATTCAAAGTCTCCCAGCCAAAACCACCCCAGAGCCAGATGGTTTCACCCCAGAATTCTACCAGACTTTCAAAGAAGAGTTAATACCAGTACTCCTCAAATTATTCCATGAAATAGAAACAGAAAGAACAATGTGAAATTTTTTATGAGGCCACAGTTACCCAGTTACCCAAACCACACAAAGACTCAACAAAGAAGAGAATTATAGACCAACTTCCTTCATAAAGATTGATGCAGAAATAGTCAGTACAATTCTGGCAAACTGAATTCACGAATACACCAAAAAGAGAATCCACCAATTAAAACAATCCTGTACAATAAAAGATCATCCAGAGGTATCACCATGCCTGATTTCAGCTTGACTGTGGAGCTATAGTAATAAAAACCTCATGGTATTGACAGAAAACAGATAGGCGGATCAATGGAATTGGATCAAAGACCCAGATGTAAAACTACACACCTTTGGACACCTGATTTTCGACAAAGAAGCCAAAATTTTACAATGGAAAAATATCTTCAACAAATGGTGCTGCTCTACATGGTGTTGGCATGTAGAAGAATGTAAATAGATCCATATTTATCACCCTACACAAAACTCAAGTCCAAGTGGATCAAAGACCTCAACACAAATTCAGATATACTGAACCTGATAGAAGAGGGAAAAAAAATTCTCAAACGTATTGGCAAGTAGACAACTTCCTGAACAGAATACCAATAGCAAAAACACTAAGATTGACAATTAATAAATGGTACCTCATAAAATTGAAACATTTTTGTAAGGCAAATGACACCGTCAATAGGACAAAAGAGCAGCCTACAGAATGGGAAAAGATCTTCAGCAACCTAACATCCAACAGAGGGCCGATATTCAAAATTCAAAATCTATAAAGAACTCAAGAAACTAGATATCAACAAACCAAATAATCCAGTTTAAAGATGTGGTGTAAACCTAGAGAATTCTTCTTAGAGAATTCTTTATGAATACTTTATGAGATGTTCAACATCTTTAGCCATCGGGGAAATGCAAATCAAAATGACTCTGCGATTCTATCTCACATCTGTCAGAGTGGCTAAGATAAAAAACACAAGTGACAGCTCAAGTTAGGATGTGGAGCAGGAGGAACACTTCTCTATCGCTGGTGGGAGTGCAAACTTGTATAGCCACTTCGGAATCAGTATGACAGTTCCTTAGAAAACTGGGAATTCAGTCTAGCAAAAGACCCAGCAACACCACTCCTGGGTATACACCCAAAGGATGCTCAATCATACCACAAGGACACTTGCTCAACTATATTCATAGCAGATCTATTTGTAATAGCCAGAAACTGGAAACAACATAGTTTACAATTCAATAATCAATTGAGGAAGGAATAAAGAAAATGTGGTACATTTACACAATGCAGTATCACAGAGCTGCTAAAAACAATGACATTAGGAAATTTGAAGGCAAATGGATGAAATTAGAAAAAAATTATCCTGAGTGAAGTAACCCAGACTGATAAAGACAAACATGATATGTACTCACTCATAAGTGAATATTAGTTGTAAAATAAAGGATAACTATGATACAATCCACAGACCTAGAGAGACTAGGTAACAAGGAGAGTTCATGTGGGAACATCCAGATCTCCCTGGGAAGGGGAAATAAAAGAGATTTCATGAATGGACTGAGGGCAGGTAGGGATGGGAACATGAGAGATCAAAATTGGGGGGGCACAGAGGAAGATAGTGCTGAGGAGACTTTCTGGGGGGTATTTGAGGGTCGGACAGAAGCATGGCTCAGGGGAATCTCCCAGGAGTCAATGGGGAGGACCCCAGCTTAGACTCCTAGCAATAGTGGATAAGTAGCCTGAACTGACCTTCTCCTGTGACCAGATTGGTGCCTGGCCCAATTGCCATCAGAGAGGCATCACCCAACAACTGATGGAGGCAGATGCAGTGAGTCCCTAGGCTTCTGAGAATGGCTTGTTGCTGGCAGAGCAGGTGGCCCTGGCCTGCAGCTCAGTAACTTGACTTGTTTGAAAGGGCAAAGTTTGTTTGAAGGTGCAAAGTGTGTGTGTGCATCACACACAGAGAGACACTCACGTGCGTCAACTTCCCCAAACCCGAGGGAATGCCCTGCTCTTTCTGGAGGTTCACAGAATGGAAGTCTGAACCAGTTCTCTCTGGATCTAAATTGGACAGGAGTACCGTGCTGCGCTCTGAGCTGGTCTGCACCTCTGACCTGGCCTTCCCTCCCTAGTAGACGGGTGTCTGAGGGACGTTTTGCTGAAGCCCCACAGGCAGCTGTCCTAGCTTCCCTGAGGGCAGGGAGGGTGGGGTGGATGTTCACCTTGGTGTCTCAGAGACAGGGCCTTTGCGGTTTGGAGGAGAGGCTGAGGGCCTTGGGGAAATGACTGGCATGTTTGCCTTCACACGGAATTGGCAAGAGCTCCTAGACAGCTGCTTGCTTCCTTTGACTGGATACTCCAGAACATCGTGATCTTGTTGTAAGTGTCTGAGTTTTTCAGACACTTTCTAAAATGACAGCTTTAACATTCTTCCATGGGATCCAACAGACTAGATCTCTCCTAGCGAGCGACTCCAAGATGAGCCACCTAGGAGTAGCAAAGGGGGCAGACCGGTTCTGCCCGAAGACTGGTGTAGAAGTCAGATTGATTTCAAAGAGGATGACTTCTCCCGTCTCTCCCACACCAGGCGCTCCTGGAGCAAGGGCAAGGCCTCTAGTCCCACACTCACGAAGCAAGGACATGGCCTCCAGGTCATGGTCATTCCACGTGCTTCTCCAGCTGGGTGCCGTGTGGGAAGCAAAAGCTTCCTGGCTCCCTGCCACAGAGACAACTTGTTCCAACTTCGTATTACACTGCAATAATCTGTGTCCACGCAGTCTGGCTGCGCTCTCCTGGTGACGTGGTGCAGGGCTGCTGCGGAAGTCAGTAGGCCTGCCTGGCAGGGTGGCAGGGTCCTGGGGTGGCCGTTCTGTTCCTCAGTCATCTTGTGACTCAGAAGCACACGCGAAAGGCCTTAATTCATGGTCCCCTCTCCTCCCCCATTCCCTTCACACTCTCCACAGTTAATATGGTCATTTCTTCATTCACCTCAAACCTGCTTCTGCCTCTTCTGTTGGTTCATATTTGTGTGTTCCTCACTACCCTTCAAGGTACATCTTTGGGGGTGTGGCTATGCAACTTCGAACTGGATTCAAACCCAGCTTAATTTTTGTACAAGGCCCATGGAAAAGATCGTGGGAAGGTTGTAGTCAGATGGAGTGATTCTGAAGAAAGGGCACCAGACAAAATGACGCTGGGTCCCAGAGAAAGCTTTTAGAAGTAGCTGTTTCTTGGAGAGGGGACTTTGGAGTCTGTGGAGGGAGCAAAGGAGGTGTGTTGAGTGCGGGGGG